GGACTGCAGGAAGATTTTCATGCAATTAGCAAAACTTTCTGAACAGGAAAATTCACAGTGGAGAGAAACCTCATAAGTTTTAGGAATGTACGAAAGTCATCAGTTTGTCCTTTAGCACTTACTACACATATGAAAAGTCATTTCAGAGTGAAACCTTATATATGCCAGGAGTGCGGAAAGGAAAGGCCTGGATCTGCAGGCCTTACTATGCATAGGAGAATTCACAATGGGGAGAAACTATATATATATATATATATATGTATGTATATAAATATATATACACACATATATACACACATATACATGTAAGAACATGGGAAGTCTATCATTCGCACCTGCAGCCTTTAAAGGTATAAGAGAATTAATATTGCAAAAAATTGTGTGAGTAAGGAATATAGGAAGGCTTTCGTGTTCCCCTCAAGCCTTAGTAAATTATCAATTCCCTAATAACAATGGCCTGGGTCACAACATGGCCCTTAGGTAAAACAATTTTAGTTTCGACAAGTGGGTGGGGAATTGCTACAAAAGTACAGTCCGGAAGGAATTAATCCTGGTGCATGTAAAAGCTTCCTGTGACATTAGTACCATAAGGGAAAGGTACTTGCTGATTATCACCTGGACTGAGGCTATGACAATGCCCTGGCATTTTGCCTTCACAATATGTGAACTGGTAAATAATAAATCTTAGTGATAAATCGAGGTGGAAGGAATAAAATAAAACGTAAATACTTGGGGACTAGAGGATGAGAGATGCATGCTGGGAGTAGACTGTAGACTGAACATGATTGCCACTCAATGCCTCTTTTGCAAACGTCAACACCCAAAAGGAGAGAGAGAAAAAATGGGTATGCCCTAGCACAGAGGCAGGGTGGGATGGGGGGTGGCGGGGTGGGAGGGATACTGGCATTAGTGGTGGTGGAGAATGGGCAATATTTACTCGATCATTGTATAACTGAAACCCAGGCACAAAAATTTGTAAGTCTACAAATGTACCTCATGTTGTTTCACTAATAAAACTTAGGGAAAAATGGTTGTGGGCTGGAGTAATAGCACAGTGGGTAGGGAGTTAACCTTGCACGTGGCCGACCCGGGTTCAATTCCCAGTATCCAATATGGTACCCTGAGCAGCACCAAGGGTAATTCCTGAGTGCAGAGCCAAGAGTAACCCCTGTGCGTCGCCAGGTGTGACCCCAAAAGCAAAATAAATAAATAAATAGTTACAAAAATTGCATTTTGCTGGGTACTGTCAAGGCTTACCATGGTTACATTCGTTGCTGTGATTCTGGCTTGGCTCAAAGGCTCTGGTTTGCGGGCATCATGGCAGAGATTAACCATGATCCTGCGGAGAACTTTTTGACTTCAGTTATACAGTCAAACCTCCGATCTTCAGGCCCTTTTGTGTTATATTTTGGGGAGCCACATCCCGCTGTGCTGTCTATATTTGGTGTCCAGGTTAGCCACGTGCAAGGAATCACTTTACTTTCTGTAGCATATCTCCATTCCTTGTATTCAGGTTTCCATTCAATTTATACAAACATTGAGGATAAATGTTTTGAGATTTTTACTTTGGAAGCATTAAAATCCTAACAATGTAATATTCACCAGAATGGTAAACACCATGTAGATATGTGCAGAAGGCCAAGCCAGGATGCAGAGTGACCAGTGTGGTTTGCTGCCTGTTATCCCCTCCTTTCTGGGGGTTGGTCTATATGCTGTTTTATATACTTTTGTTTTGGGGGAAACCTGACAGTTCTTAAGAGTTACTTCTCATGGTTCCCATGCCGCCATTGGGGAATATCAGGGACTGAATTCAGGTTGACCGAGTTCAAGGTAGGTGCCCAACGCACTGCACTACCCTTCAGGCCAGGTACTCTTTTTTTTTCTTTTTGGGTTATACCCGGTGATGCATAGTGGTTACTCCTGGCTCTGCAATCAGGAATTACTCCTGGTGGTGCTCAGGGGACCCTATGGGATGCTGGGAATCAAACCCAAGTCAGCTGCGTGCAAGACAAACGCCCTACCTGCTATGCTATCTCACTCCAGCCCCTGGCCGCATACTCTTGGTTTGAAACCTTGTTTCTGAAACTGCCTCCTAGGGTTTTCCTTGTAGACAAGTGTCCACTGCTCTTGTGTTGTTAAGGGGTAGAAGCCTTTGCTCCTTTTCCATTCTCTCTTCGGGTCTCAAAGTTGTTACTAGATCAGTTCCTCTCTGCATCTCCAGGGCTGGCTACAGAGTCACTGAAAATACTGGATTGGGGAACTTCTCCTTCCTCCAGACCCCTACTTTGTGACCGATCACTCTAGCCACCACCTTTTCACTCCTTTATGTGAGCCTATTCCACTAGCAGTACACTCTTTTTTTTTCTTTTTGGATCACACCCAGTGATGCTCAGGGGTTACTCCTGGCTCTGCACTCAGGAAATACTCCTGGCAATTCTTGGTGGACCATAAAGGATGCTGGGGATTGAACGTGGATCAGCTGCATGCAAGAAAAATGTCCTGTCCACTGTGCTGTCGCTCTGGCCCAGCCAACAGTACATATTTACCATCATTGTTCTAGTGGTTTCCTGTAGAGGGAAAGGTAAAAGCAATGTACATGTTCCTGGGAGACAGAGTGTCTCCTTGCATGAGTCTCCCCAAGAGAATTTCCTCTGCCAAATGTTTATATATGTAAATGATCAATCACACCTATGCCCTTACCTTAACCTCCACCTTCAGATGTTCTATAAGTATGGTAGCTGCTCTGCATTAAATAGGCCATTTTCACCATCAGTCTGTCTTTCTCTCTGTTGGAAAAGCCTGGGGAAGTGAGGAGTCGGCTCTGGACCGCCAACGGTTCACAGCACCCCCGCATTTTACTTCGTGAACTCTCAGTGATCAGTTGCTCTTTATTCTGTTCTCCTGCGTACCTATACCAGTCTCCCACTGCCCCTCATTCAGAATTCGGGACAACACTGAATGTGGAGTTGAGGCCATATTCACTGGCACACTGGGGTCTCCTGGGGCTCTGAGATCACCAGGTAGCCCCCTAGAGCCCTAAAACATAATTGGGTTCATGATCACCCAAGCTCAGGGGAGCCCTCACTCATGAGCGTTCCCAGAATGCAAAGGCCCCCCAAGAACAAGGGCTGAATCCTCTTTATCGTCCCTGTTGGGGGCTCCCAGGGAGAATTGAGCCCCAGGAAAAGGGACACAAATCAGTGGGGAGATGCTAAGAGAGGTCCCATTATGGCACTCCTGTCGCCCTGCCCAGCTGAGTCCCCACGGTGCTGGCGGGAGGGTCCCCACTTTCAACTCCCTCATCATCTGGGATTCAGTCTCAGTTCAAGGATGCTGTAGCAGGGAGGGCATTTGCTTTGCCTCTGGCAACCTGGGTTTGATCCCCAGCATCCCGCACGATTTCCCAGCACTACTAAGAGTAATAATCCATGATTACAGAGCCAGAAATAAGCCCTAAGCACACACACACCCAGTGTGGCCCCAGGACAGAACATGACCGGGAGAGAAAGAGGGAGAGATGTGGGTTCATGGGAAAATGTAGAGAGAGCAGACTCGGAAGCGCAAGCAAGCCCCCTGACCTGCTCTTTTTTATTTTTGGCCTTGGCATATCTACTCCTTTTTTTTTACTATGATTATTATTCAAATTCCTATTTGGTTTTAGAGTTATTCCTGGATACAGGTGATTCCTCCTGACTTGGTGCTAAAGGGTTGACCTTTGTAGGGTCTGGATTTTTTTTTCTTTTTGGGTCACACCTGGCGATGCTCATGGGTTACGCCTGGCTCTGCACTCAGGAATCACTCCTGGCGGTGGTCAGGGGACCATATGGGATACTGAAAATTGAAGCGGAATCAGCCGCATGCCAGGCAAACACCCTACCCGCTGTGCTATCGCTCCAGCCCCAAGGGTTGCGCTTGGTAGGACTCAGGGGGCCATGTGGTGGTACCAGGGGCTGTACCTGGGGCTCTGGCATGCAAAATGTGCTGAAGCCCTTTAAGCATCTACTCAGACCCAAGCTTTTTTCTTATTATTACTTGGTTTGGAGCCACATGCAGCGGTGCTCAGAGAATTCCTCTGGTTCTGTGCTTGAAAATCACTACTGGTGAGGCTCAAGGATCCTTTGGCGGCTAGGGATGGTGCCCTACCCTCTAACCTATCTCTCTGATGCTCAAGGCAGAACTTTTGGGGATGGAGTGATAGCACAGCAGGTAGGGTGTTTGCCTTGCATGCAGCCAACCCAGATTCAATTCCCAGCATCCCATTATGGTCCCTCGAGCACTGTCAGGAGTAATTCCTGAGCTCAGAGCCAGGAGTAACTCCTGTGCATTGCTGGATGTGACCCAAAAAGAAAAATAAATTAAAAATAATAATGTGGGAGAGAGCGCCAAGAGTCTGGAAACCACCGAACTCCTTGGCAAAGCTGTTTTTTCGATGATGTTTTCTCCTTTGCTTCCCTTCCAAGCACCCAAGTGGAGGAGAGGGGGCGACCATGATGCTTTCTGTTGGGAGGGCAACAGCAGTGCTCAAGAAATCAACCGGGGTCCCCACTGACGATTCCTGGCCAATTGGGTGGCATTTCATTGTAAGGTCTCGAGGATGAGTTACTGGAGGTCACCTGGGCTACCCTGGGCCGACACCCGGAAGGGCCTTTAGAGGACCCAGCCATTCCTGGGGGATTGAGTCTCTTTGTGGTGCTGCGGATTGAACCCACCAAGCTCCCACTCCCTGCAATGACACATGTAGAGAAGAGAAAATGCAGGCCCAGGGAAGTGCAGCACCTTCCCTGAGGTGACACAGCACGAAGAAGTATCCTTGCTCTGGGGATCCTCAGGGCAGCAAGAAACAGGGAGCATGGACACGCATCCCAACCACCACCCCTCCCCCGTCCCCAGGTCTGAGTGGAATTACCCCACAAGGAGTCTCTGTGCAGGGCGTCCTAGCCGGGATCCCCCTGGTGTCAGAGGGTGGTTGTGCTCCCTACCTTATCCATAAGGTGCCCTATATGCTCATCCCCCTGGAGACCGGTCAGGTGGACATGGAGGTGAAGGTCGTGAGCATCAAAACCTGGGACCATGTGAGGAAGACCAATCTGGTCCAGGTAATGGACCAGAGAAGAGATGGGGGGAGTGGAGGCACCCTCCCCAGGCTAACGGCTAGTCTCCAGGTGGGACAGTTGGGAGTGTTAGGGCGCGGATCGTAATCTCCCTTTAATGACAAAGAGACTCTAGAGACTTCAAACATCAAGCAAGGTTTATTGTAAGACTGGCTAGCCAGGGTCAAGCCACCTAAACAGACAAGCAGGTCAGTTAGGTGAGGCAAGACCCGGAACTTCTTCAAAGGGGATCTTATATAGGCCTTCACTGGCCTTACAGCAAAGCCCACACATTTCATAGCCAATAGATTTGTAACAACATATACTTTCTTAACCAATCCATTTAAAAGTACATCACTCCTTAGCCTATAGATTCAAAGATCTGCATTTACATACATAGGTATTGTGGCTAGTGGGCATCTGGTAACTAGGACATTTGGTTATCACCTGGCTTCCTTTGATTCTCAGCCCTGCATTCCTGTGGAGGTGGATAAAGTTCCTAAGAGAGGTAATAGATAAGGAAGGCCCAACAAATGGTTCCCGAATTTACATCCCAACAGGGAACAGTCAACAAATGGTTTCAGAATTTGCATTCCAATAAGGAATGGTTTCACTCTAAAGCTCTGCTAGGCAGGAAAGGGAGAGTTACTAATTTGTAGAGTTTTAACTCTGGAATCTCCCTCTGGGTCCCTAGGGACCTTACAGTAACTACTCTCAGTGGTACCGGGGGACCATGTGGTACTGGAGGTGAGCCCCCCCAAAAAATCTACAGGCAGAGAAATCCTTGGTCACAGGGATCATTGAAATCGCTCACATCTGTCATTCATAAACCTGATCCTCCTGACATAGCACTTTCTGTTCAATACACAAAACAAGTACTTTTTTGTAGGGTGGGGGGGTAATGCACAACCAGAAATTCCCAGGAGTTACTTTGGGCTCCACAGGCAGGATCACTGCAGGTGGGTCTGGGAGGGGAAGGGATCAAATCCAGGTCATCCACTGCAAGACAAATGCCCAGAAATTGCTAAAATCTGAATTTCAGTTTGCCTTGAATACATCATTTAATCTCCCCTAGGCCTTGGGTGGGATACACAATGCATACATTATCCCTGGGTTCTTCATGGCTTGCCCTTTGACCTTTTTTTTTCATTTTTGTGTCCCACCTGGGAGATATACAGGGTTTTCTCCTGAATATGCACTCAGGAATTACTCTGGGAGTGTGGTGCTTGGGGGATCCTATGACAAACACTCAGCTTCAACCTTTTGATCTCTTATATATACACTCCTAGTTCATTCTTTATATTACAGTTCTCAAATTCAAATCAAACTGGTGACTTCAGTACTATGAGGGAAAGGGAATTGCTGATGATTGCAATTCAGGGAAACACAAAGATCTTCCCATTCTGTACACTCTTAAGACTTCTTGCCACTGTGTATTTTCATACGCCTATGAAGGCCTGAGTTCCTGGTGAACCTGAATTAACCTCCTGAGTTACCTTATATAGCAAACCATAATAATAATAGTAATGATTACTATTTCCTATGCCAGTGTCCCAGCACTTGGACTTGATGTGTATGTTAACCTGTAAATAATGGGTCCTTTTTTTCTTTTCTTTTTTTTTCTTTTTATATGACACCCGGAGATGCTCAGGGATTACTCCTGGCTTTGCACTCAGGAATGATTCCTTGTTGTGCTCGGGGGACCATATGGGATGCTAGTAATCGAACCTGGGTCATCCGTATGCAAGGCCAATGCCCTACCCTCTGTGCTATTGCTCTAGCCCCTGTAAATAATGGGTCTTGCTGACGGAATCCAGGTGAAAACTGATTAAATAGGAACTAAGTAAACTAAGTAAATGGGTACAAAATCACAGCTATCAGTGTCACTCTTTTTGGTTTTTTTGGTTTGTTGTTTGTTTTTTTGGTCAAACCCAGAGATGCACAGGGGTTACTCCTGGCTCTGCACTCAGGGATTACTCCTGGTGGTTCTTGGGGACCCTATGGAATGCTGGAAATCTAACTCGGGCTGGCTGTGAGCAACGTGAACGTCCTACACGCTGTACTATCACTCCAGCCCAGTGTTTCATTTTTTCTTGGACTCTGGTTTGAGGCAGAGACACTGGTTGGGGGGTGTATGATAGAGACCAACTAGGATGTTGCAGTGAATCATTTGGAATGGAAAAAGAGGCAAACATCCACACTTCAGGCCTTCCTCTGTTATGTTTTGAGGAGCGCTTTGCTCAGGCCCTTCTCTTGGCTCTGAGCTCATCCATACCTGCGAGGGAGGACATAGGTATCCTTATTGGGATCTGGACTTTGAATCCTGATCAGTCTTGTGCAATCAAGCACCTTCCCGCTGTATAACTCTGTGATCCTAGTATTCAGATTTTTATTAGATTTCCCTAAGCATTGAGGATAAATATTTCTTAAAAGTTTAGGATAATGGCCCTGTCATTGTTCTTTAATAGGGTGGATTAGAGATAGTTGAAATGGACTTGACTGTGTACAGAAAGATTTCTGATGGTTCCTTGAAAGGATGGAACGGGCCCCTTGATAAAAATATTTTACAAATGGTGGGAACTTGGCAGAGTTCCCAAACTCCCATCACAGCAGGCAAAAACATCAGCTGTGATGATTAACTATAAAGGGTGGTCACATTCCTGGATTCCACTCAACTCATTTCAGTTATATTTGGAGAAAAGATGACAAAACCTTACATTTGCAAGTGGTATAATCTCAACCCTACTAGCCACTGAAATGATTAAAACCGTTTTTGGTCTGTCCAAAAGACAAAGTCTACAAAATATTCTGGTATGCTGTGGTGCCCATTAGTTACTATGCGTCTCCGTTTTTAGGGTTGGTCCATACATGGGATTTATTTATTGAAGTATGTTTTATGTAATTCATGCCATACTTGGCAGTTCTTAGGAGTTTATGTTGTTCTTGGATGCCAGGAATGGAACTCAGGAAAACCATGTTTAATACAAGCATTAAGCCACAGTACTAACCTCTTTCCCCATAGAACTAACTCTTTCCCACAATACTAACCCCTTTCCTCTTGGTTGAAAACATGTTTCTAAAGTTGCATCCTGGAGTTTCCTTATAAGGTGAGAGTTCTCTCCTCGAATGTTTTCAAGGGGTAGAGTGTTCACTGTACAGTGCTCTCTGATGTTCTTCCCATCCTTTGTTCCTGTCCAGTGTCTCTCCAGCTCCCTGGGTTGCTACTAGGCCAGTTCCTCTACATCTTCAAGGCTGGCTTCAGATTCGCTGCACCCATCTTGATTAATGACTTCCCAGAGAAACTCATTGTCCCAGGAGCCATTCACAACCTACTTGCCTGTTCCTGTTTTACTTTGATTCAACCTGCTTTTGTTTTTATGATGGACGTGTGTGTGGAAGCATTTGTTCCATGTTTGACCAGTACAGAACCAAGGGACTCTGCCTTAACTCGCTTCCCTGAACTCTGTGACCAGCCCCTCCAGCACTTGCTTCTCTCCTTTATCCGAACTAATGCCCCCTGCACTGATTCACCTGGGCTGCCATAATGGTCTGTCTGCATTTGGAACCTGGCACTTTAAGGCTCCTTGGTGAAATGGATGATGACACAGACGGGAGTCTTTCATGTCCACCTTTACTTCCTAATGATGTCAAGTGGATCCGGCCTCCTCTGGGCATGTGTTTAAAGGACAAAATGATACTTCAGTTGAAGGGGGGCACTGAAGGCCAATTAGTGGCAGGACATGAGGACCTCTCACCTGCAGTGTCTGTAATGTGACCAACGGGATCGTGCCAGCTTTTGGGACACTTTTGTGGTTGTTTTTCCACTCTCTCCCCCATCCATATCCAGTGAGTTCCTGGGGTCTGCCGTGCTCCAGAGGCTTTAGGAGAATATAGAGCTTTGCTGGTTGCATTGGGAGGATTTATCACGGCACATGGGTCTCAGGTGTGAGCTCGGGGGCATCTTTGTCTCCAGCTCTGTGATGAGGCAGCATGGCCTGGGTGCGGAGCTGAACATGGGGGGCTGTGGGTCTTGAGGATTCCGGACCTCCTGATGGAAGAAGTCTTGACCATCCAAAGCTTCTCAACTAGGGGTTCTACCAGGCCCTGTCCTGCAGCTTTCTGTGTAGACATGCATAGGTAAAACTGCCAGATCACTTTGAGGGGTGGCTCCTCAGCCCCCAATGGTGAGGGACCCTGTTGAAGCGCGTCATTTTCATTGGCACCTGCCAGGAGGAATCCTGGGGGCCTGGTCCTAGCATGTGGCTGTGGGTTGTAAATGAATAAATAATTGAACGTTGGGACTCAGAGTGATGATCTTGGTGGCTGTTTGCCAAGTATTTTGTGAATTTTATTTCCTTCGTAAATACAAAGACTCTCTGCTCGACATGTTATCTCTTCAGCTCATCCCTCTCTATCTATCCCAGACCTGGCGACCCCCAGCTCTCTGGATCACCTGATCTTATCCCAGAAATGGGAAAAATGAACCTTTCTGACCAGGCAAGCACCTGGTCAGGTCAGGAATATTTGAAGCCTGGCCCTTTAAGGCTCTGGGAGAACGTGCCGATGACGTCACAGAATCCAGGTCCTTTATTCGCCTGGACTTCTTTTAGGAAGTACCAGCGAGTTGGGTTGCGTGATTGAGTAAGGTGAGGAGTGGGTGAGGGGGCACCCAGGGGAGCAGGGGGGTCCAGGAAGGTTGGTTCCCCCGCCGCCCGCCCCGGTGGTCGCTCTGAGCTCCTGAACCTCCGGGTCTCCGCCTTGCCTTGTGGGCGACGGGGTCGCTCCGTGGCAGTGGCCCGGGGTGGCGGCCCCTCACCTGGGACGCACCGAGCTCTCCTGCCGAAAGCTTTATCTTGTTTATAAATTGATTTTGAGGGGGAAATGGTCATTTTTACTGAGGAGAACTTACTTAGAAAGATGCGTAAGGGGGGAACGCAGCCGGCCAGGTTCGGTCCCGGCACCCCACAGCGTCAGATCATGGCCTGGAGTGAGCCCAGAGCCTGGAA